AAACACATACAAGAACCGGTAGTGGATAAAATCCACAACATGCTCGGAACATTGGGTGGAAGGAAACGAAGCGTCTCGTTCCACCCAAGGTGTCCAAGGTATGGGGAGCGCAGTGACGCACTCACCCAGGCAAAGTTATCTATGAGACAAAACAAATTTGGGGTTCACCCGAACCATAAACCCGTCAAGGGGACTATAAGTACAAAACAGTGCAACCTAAAAGAAGCTTCCGGTGTTACAACAGGGTGTAAGCAGTAGCAATGGGATGAGTGGGAGGCCAGTTGTTGTGGCTGTGGGAATTGTGGTCCTAGTTCAAGTGGTGATAGGACAATAAGTGACAATGTTTCTTGCGCCCTAGATGCGGTCAGTGCTACCCTTGCAAGGGGACAGCCATAGAGCACATATAGTATTTAGGTAGATATGTCTGGGACATTGGATGATGCGAGGAACCACGATTAGGTCGGAGGGATTGGGGACCGAAGGGCACCTCAATCCGCCAAGATGGAAAGGGGATATAGCAAGGCCTCATCCCACTGGTACTGCGTAGTCCGAAATCTTGGGCAACATACTAACTTATATTTAATACATTAGAACAACAGCAAAAAGGATATATCATGGGAAAATCAACAATCGCTGCAAATAAGTAGCACAGAGGAGTTGATGCAGAAGTGTAACGTGGGGGGTCAGTGGATTGGAGAGAAGCTCCGTTGCAGTGGGGTAAGAATGATTCCATATTGTGGTATAAGACAGTTTGGGAATAGGTAGCGCTTTGGACCGTTCTGAGAGGTGAGGTAGTCCTCAAAGGGGGTAGGAGACCTGAGTTCGAGGAACTTCGAACATCATTTGAAGCTGTAGGGGAGGTAGCCTCATGAAGGTGGAAATAGACTCACAAGGACCAAAGGCAGGAACAGGCCACAACAGGTGACTTCAACTTTGGATGTAGCCCGCTTCAAACGGCCGCAAGGAGCCGGGCATCTGCCATCCCATCAGGTGGCAAAAATGGCGGAACCAACCCAGGAAGGGTTGCATATCTGCTTAGTTCAGCGTGGCGGGGGAGTTTTGGTGGTCATTTTGACTGCAGGGCGGCTCGATTCACCTGAGTGGTTGTGGTCCGAGCCACTCCTGGACCTCTTGGAGGAAAGAGCAGCAGAGTGCCGGGGATCTGGGCTCATAGGTTGTGAATCTGCTAGGCCGAGGTCTGCCAATTTGCGTTGAGTTTTCTCCAGAGTGGTGCATGTATGGTGTTTACCTCCGTGGAAGAACACCAGCCGGAAGGGAAATCCCCATTTGTACGGAATATGATGTTTGGTGAGGACATCCAGGCAGGGGCGTAGAGACCTCCTTTTGGTTATAGTGGAAGGAGCCAGATTCGCAAACAACTGGTACTCATGACCCTGGAATGAAAGCGGGCCTTGCTGCGCTTTGGTTCTGGCGGCCGTAGCAAGGGCCTCTTTGGTGCGGTAAAAATGTAGTTTAACCAGAATGTCACGAGGGGGTCCCTCGGGTGTCTGTGGTTCAGGGTCCGGTGGGTCCTCTTTATCTCCAGTCGCTCCAGAGGGATGTCAGGGGCTCACTCTTGAAAGAGCGCTGTCACCGTGGAGTACAGATCCACTATGTGTTCAGGTAGCCCGCGGGTGCGGAGATTAGAGCGCCGGGACCTGTTTTCTAAGTCCTCAAGTTTGGATACCAGTTGTGAGTTTTCCTCACGGAGGGACTCCATATCTCCAGCAACTGTGGATAGGTCTGTCTTTAGGTCGTCACACCTGTCTTCCAGTGCAGCGGTGCGGTGGCCTATGTCCCTTATTTCTTTGAGCAGCCTGTCAGTTATTTGCTTTGAGGTGGATTGAAGTGCTTTCTGAAGCATGGCGTCAAATCGCTGTAAGAGGGCTGTTTGGGATCGTTTGCGGGAGCGGTCTCCTTCATGGCTATCCAGATCTCCCTCATCTATGTCACTACTGGACACTGGGGCTGTGCGGGCCGTTACCTCGTGTATGTGGGCCGCGGTCGACATCTTGGCCGAGGCTCGGGCCATCGCCTCTTGAATGGGCTGTTTTTTTCCCCTTCTGAGGGAGCTTGGGCGCCGATGACGACATGATCCGATGCCGGGAGCGTTCTGGTTGCCGATCGAGGTAGACTGACGGGCAAGGGAGGTGAACTGCTGGGCTATGAGCTGGATTGCCTGGGTGAGCTGCGGAGCCGTCTCAGAAGGCTTCCTTCATCGGCAGCTGCGCGCATGCGCCCCCGTATTTATTTATTTTAACAGTACTGCCAGGGGGCTTTGGTGAAATATCAGGGGTCTAAAAAAACCCTCAGTTTTGACATAGAGAAAGACTTTGAGGACATGGAGTCCTTAATCTCCATCTCATATGCAGAAGCAGAGAGTGGGTAGAAAAGAGCACACTGCATCTGTAGCACATTTTCAATGAATAGCTGTGATCAGTGGTTTGTCTGCCAATGACCAGAGCTATTCATTTCCTAATCAGGAGAGTCTAAAGTCTGGGGAACCTCTCTACTATAAGTTTATGGTCACTGAAGTGACCAAGAGCTTATAGAAGAAGGGGGTATGTAGAGGATGTAAGGCTTACTGAGCCGGCCTGTTAGAAGTATGCTCTGTTCTGACATAAGCCTTATGTCTTTGGTTATTAAGTATTAGGTATTATAATCTAATCATATGGATATTTGAGAAAAAGTAGTAGTCCAAATATCAATGTGTTTTTATTGTGAAGTTATTCATTCTTAAAATCCTCTGATCTTTTGGGTTCTAGAAGCTTATAAACATCTGCTTATTGTGCACATTAGAGCCTGCCAAGATCTGCTCTCCATTATGTTGTGAACTTTGAAAATTAAATTTCTTTACAATGCTAATAGATTTAGAGCTGAATGAAGGCTTGTTTTAAAGTGCTTTTACTGCTTTTTTAGAATATGTATACACTTTGGGGTGCAATATTTAGGCACAGGTTCACTTTATTTGATTGAAATTACAGTAACTATAACATAACACAACAATAGCAATCAAAACAAATTATATAGTGGTATCTCTGACACAAATGAATAGGGAATTGTGTAATCTGAACATAATGAGAACAGAGATGTAAAGTGTGTGCCTAAAGTATACACTTTTAGGGCCCAATCCCACCAGATTTACACTACCATGAACTGTGTTTGTCCATGACACAACAAATTGCCTTGTCTTGAATTGGGGGCTGCACTGGAAAAAATGGGCAGTGAGATCAGCACAGTGAGATCAGCACATTACATATGCAATGTAGCGCAACAGCTGGTGTGAATGGGCCTTACAGATATGGTTAAAAGAATATATGGTGTTCATGACTAGGGATGAGCTCAGGTTTACACTGAACCCAGTCTGCACCTAACCTCCTTTGAACAAGGATGTGCTATGGGCACTGTCCACCAATCAGCTGCAGGATGGCCATTCTCCACCCTGCAGATCCTTGAAAACTGGGGATGGGATGTGTGTGCTGATGCAATTTACCTTATATGACCTTATATGACCACATAGCCATATTAGGTAAATGTCCTTTACCAAAAAGAGGCATGTAACCATACAAGGTAAATTACGTCACTGCATCCCACCCCTTTGTTTATGTAAAGCTGCTGGTGGGGAATTACCTACCCATAGCTGATTGGGTGGCATGGAAGGAGCCCAGGTTCAGTCCGAACCTGAGTTATCCCTATTACTGACATGAAGGTTCTTGCACAATAACTTTTTTTTTATGAGGTGACAGCCTAGTTACCACTTTCAGGATGCTGATCTTGTACTGAAGAGCATGCATATAAACAGGAAGTAGCTGAAAGGGGATAGAGCAGATAAGCAGTGCTGCGATGCAAAATGGATGAAAATATGGTGAAAACAGTATTTAATTTAAGATTTTTTTTTTAATAATACACTTGGTTTTAAAAACTAACAGTCACCCATTTAGGGTTTAGATTAAGCTCCAGTATTTATTTGCCATATTTGAACTGTATATGCAATAATAGTATTTATTGAAGCACAGTATGTGGTCAGAGTCATTTTGAAGTTTCCCTTCATATAACTATGAAAACGATGCACGCTTTTTTTATGTTATTAGGATTATATTAAAAAAACTGAAGGTGTATCCACTGTATGCCAGATTATATATGTCCTATCTATAGCCTAACCAGAAAATGGAAGTGAATATTTAATTGGTTAATATGAGCTATAATACTTGACTTAAAGGGGAACTGGAGGAGGAACTTCACCTCCATGTGTATTTTTTTTTTAATATTTGAAACCCGTCTTTACTTTCTTCACTAGGGAGTCCTCAATGAACATACTTACATTGCCAGTAAATCCAGTGTTGTGCTTGTTTTAGTCTGTAACCCCGCTTTTGTACACCTGTTCACCATTTTTTGTTGTTTTCTCATTGGAAGCTGGTTATGGCTTCCAAGTTCATGTAGCCGGCTCCCTGATGTTGATGCGCCACAGATTATGCACATCCGCAATAAATACACTTAAGCCTACTGGGATGCATGATGAGAGTATTTTTGGAGGGAGGGAGGGGAACACAGACATAGACAGTAGTGCTGGGTACAAGATAACCTTTGACACCTTCCCACAGAATGTCTTTAGCAATAAAACAAGCACATTTTTCTGCTAGACTCCATGAGAACCTTTTTTAATGACACAGAAAGAACCATTCCTCTCTATTTGCTGCCAGTGATGGTTGCTGTAGTGGTCCCATCAGTCTAGCAGTCAAGATGTGCATTTACGCTTATGTTTGTTTACCTTAACCACTGTTTTTTGAAGTTCAGTAAATGCTTAAAGAGAGACATTATACCCCTTATATAAAACCTAAATTTAGTTGAGGACACTTGTGTCCAAGATAAATCTGTGCTCTGACCTAATTACTGTATATGACATGACAAAAAAATTGCATTGTAAGGGCAGAGCGTATGCCGATGTCCTCATTATTTTCCTTAACTTTCCTCCTTTAACATGGTTTGAATGTCTAAGCATGATGGTAATCCTTCTGAACTGTGTTACTCTGGGAATGTTTCAACCGTGTGAAGATGTGGACTGCTCATCAGACCGGTGCCAAATTCTTCAAGTAAGTTTTTTTCAAAATCTTTTAATGTAAACAAATGTATTTGACAAAAATGATGTATCTGGATTCTGAATGAGGCTCGTTAGGATTAATTTTTACTACAAATATAAATGTACTACAAGTAACATTTATACATTGTATGTCATGTAATGTGAGATTTTACTCAAAATGCGTAATACATTTTTCCGAAAAGTTGGAGGGTTATATGTGAAAATATTCTTTACCTTGGCAGCCTAAAATGTAGATGAATTGCCAAGAAGGTGTTCCAGCATTTTCCTACACTTTGTGGTCCCACCTACTATGGGGTTGGGAAATCTTCTTTAAAAGCAATGGAGCTAACATCAAAGTGCAGTAAGTAACAATATGAACAGATTTTTATTTTTTTAATTGTCCACTGCTTTGTCTCTTCACCTTACAGAAACATTGTGGGATCTGTACTCGTGCACCACTATTAAAGAGTGGAATCCCTTAGTCTGTCTTTTATGTAAAAATCTAAAGGTACCAGCTCAATAGTTTAATGCAGCGGTCACTAGATGGCAGACCATGATCCAGACACGGACTGAGTGGTGCTACTGTCTGGACCGGGATTGCTGACCTGCACTCAGTTATGGCTGGCTGACCTTGAATACACTGGCCTCAGA